GCAGAGAGAGAGGCTGCTTGTAGTTTATTACATACAGTAACACCCTATTCTATCCAAAAAGCCTTTCATCTAGAAATCTGGCACCCAGAGATTACCCAGAACTACCCCCACACAAAGAGATGTGATGAACAAATCAGGGTGGCACAATTTGTGTCCAATCCTGGGGCAATTAGAAAGGTTTTCCATGCCACTGCTCTTGTGTTATCGAGATGGTATAATGTTTTAACTGCATGTCTGGGGAGTAATGCAGCATCCTTGCCCGAGCTCTGTCAGCCCAACACCAAGATTTAAAAAACAATTGGGAAATGGAGAATACAGTGATGAGGACTGTCCCCATCCCTGTCCCAAGCAGCTGTCATCCCACTCAACACCATGGAGACTTCTCAGGGCTTTGGCCAGCACTATCAGAAATGTGATTGAGTCAGATCAAACAAATTGCCTTTCTTCCCTTCACGTTATTCCCTCTACACTATAACAAGCATCAGGGTGGAGAGCAAAAAAGCCATCCAACTCATTGTGTGATTAAGCACAAAATAAATACCTGTGAGCATTCTCAGCTTAGATGCTTATTAAGAAAATTGTATAGAGTGTAAACTGTACTTGCATGTGAAAACCAATGGTAAGTTGTAGCATGCAAGGAAATGAGTCAGTAGGAAATGAAACGCAACTTACTATTTTCTCAACATAAAAAGCCACAGGCAGGATTAATCCTTTTGTGCATATCTAAAGGTGATTCTCAGATCACCTACACAATGGCTGGTTCTCCGTTTTGCCATGTTATTGCAGCCCTTTTTAATGATTCATGACAAAGAGCTTCAAAGAGCTCCAAGCCATGACAACAGTCCCAGATCTGACCTACTCATTCTCATCTCAGCAAAAAATCCTTCTTGGTGAATAATTTAGGTCTATGAAGAGAACTGCCTCAAAACTATTCCCAAGAGAAGGAGCAGTGTCTAGAATTTAATCTCATCATGGAAATAAAAATGAAAAGAAAATATCAAAAGAAAGCAGTGACTGCAACAACAATGCAAGCCTTATTTTGCAGAATTCACCCATTGTGAAACTCCACAGAAGGGAACACAGCTGTTTTCCCTGAAATATGTTTCATGTTTCCAGAGACCAAAGATGAAATCCAAAGCTTTGACTTTCAACTGACGATAAGCAAACACACGCAAGGATGACACAACTACTGTTCAGGGCTATTGAGGAAAGAAAAAGGTCATTTAGAGCTAAAGGTGAAAACACGGACTTGACCACAGCCTGTAGCACATCCCTCACTAAGGACAGCACCGCAGGAGCAGGCTTGTGACACCCTCCCAGAATCTGAGGCAATTCTTCCCTCACTTCAGTTTTGGGTTTGAGCTTTATATTTACTCTGTTGCAAGGGCTGAGGGTTGTGCACTGCAGGAGGCTCACACTATCTCTCCCGTATAACACATTGCATGTGGTGGTGAACACAAAACGGTTACAACACCAAAAAAGCATAAAAAATTAACTGCAGCACCTAGGGAAAAAAAAAAGCACCACATACAACATGCATCTCATCTGTGCACCTCCACCTTAATGCTGAATTTTCTAGTGAGCATTTAAGTCTAATTCCTCACCCAAATTCCTGACACGATATGCAGGGATTGTGTCACATTGCTTCAAATGCTTAATCTTCTCCTTGACAGGCTGATTGGGATATTCTTATACATTAAACTCAAATGAGCCGTTCACATCAGTTTGCCTCAACAGCAATAAGTAGCTTCAGTTTCGTAGCAGTTTTACAAAGATTTCTCATGATGACTGGCATCTTCATCTTCCTTGTATGAAACACTATGCCATATTGAAGGACAGTTAATCCAAATAATAGCTCACCCTGTACTCAAAATAATGAGCATAACCAAAATCAACAATACTGAAATATTTCTAATAATGGTAACAATTATAATAATATATCTTCTGGTCCCTGAGACAAAGAGAAATATCTAAGGGATTCTCTCTGTGTAGTGGCTTAGGATGTTGTGCACACCAACAGCAGGAGGAAAAGACTCATGAGGATGGGTCAGAGCATGGACTCTGTCCAAATCTTGTTTCAGCATAAAGACATAAATGTCCTTGCCCTGGCAGAGCCAATAGCTCATCTGGACCCCTCTCATTTTCACACTGACACTATTTATTTTGGGGCTGAGCCACTCTGTTCCAGCTTTGAAGGGCAGCATACATTTGGCATTTGTCTCCATGTTTTAAAGTACAAATGTTGTCCTCCAGCTCAGCTACACGCTGTGCTCACCTTGGAAGATTTCTGCTACAAAGTGGCCAAAAAATGGTCAAGATTTTGCTTCAGATGGTAACCCCATTACTAAAACCCTTCTTTCTTATTTTAGGAGAAGACAACCATTCATCCCTGCCCTCTGTGCTGCAAACCACCCTCCTGGGGGTGGCAAATCTGCCGCTGGTCCCACCAGGTCTTACTCTCAGAGGCAAAGCCAGGCTTCACCCTTGATTTGCCAGGGAGCCTGGTGCTGGGACAGAGACCTGAAAGGAATAGTTAATGAGATGAAACAACAGACCTTTCACCAGCAACAATGCCCCTCTAATTAGCCAGAGCAAGAGGGTGATGCCCCACTGCACAGGTATGGTTACACTCCCCCGGGGACAGGCACGGCTCTCTGAGCACATCCCATCTGCAGAGCTGAGGACAACCTTGATGACTACGCCTGGTCTGAAACACTCCTTTTGTGGGGGGCAAAACTCAATCCCTGATTAATTACTCTGCAACCCAGTGGCTTTGTGAGGGCTGAAATGGATGCTTTGACCGGCACTCACCCCACAGCTCGCCCAGCACAGCCCTCCCCAGCCACGTCAAACACCGGCTGCTTGCTGAAACACGTTTGCTGAGGCTTAGCAGGTCTGCATATACTGAGCAGCTCGGCATATGCTTGCACAAACAAAACATATCTGGATTATCAGGGTTTCTTTTGGGGCAGAATGTGGTGAATTCCATATATGTTTCCTTTCCCTCAAATCCTTTGCTAAAACTGCTTCTTCTTCTGCGATCGTCATTTTAAGATAGAGCAGGTGTCAGAAACAGCTATACATGGCCACCAAAATCTATCACATTAGGCAAGAGACACCGTTGAGCTCTCAGAAATAATTACTATCAAAGCCAGTGCTTAGCATAAAGACACCAAACCGCTTGGATGCACAGTGAGCAGTTACCATATTTACACACACACTTCAAATGCATCTATTTCTATTTGCGGATTGGAACTAAAGCAGCACTTTGCTTATTCAATATCTAGTAAACTTCACTCTTTCAACATGAGCAAGAGTCATACAGGAAGAGGGGATTCACTCTTGGAAAGCTTGAGAATTTCCTTCAATTTTTCTCCAGCTTATGCACAAGTTTCATGGTTTGCGGGAAGTTCAAATTGCTGCCAGCTAGAGCTGCACCCAAATTTTTATTAGCAGAGGGGGAAGGGAAAATGGCTCTCCCTTCCCACAGTTCCCCCTTGAGACTGCTCCTGAACATGCTGGAGAGGAGGCTGCAAGGAAAGGATTACCCCAAACCACAGCAGGGCAGAATTACAGCCCTGGGTGGGATGTGGATCAGTTTAAGCCAGCTCTCCCCAGTGCCCAGTGAGCATCCTCACCACGCAGCTGATATCAACTCTAAAATGAGCATTTTGTACTGTCCTGCATTTTTTTTTTTCCTTCCTCATATAAGAAATTGGATAACAACAATTTATTTCAAATGTTTGAACTGAGAACTGCCATACCTCAGGCACCCATCTTTATCACCAGGCTGTGGAATAAACCTCTCTCTTTAATAACGTCATTAATAAATGCCATTAAATGTTGGCCTTTAATAACACACACCCCCAAAACACCCCTAGCAGGGTGCAATGAGATCCTCAGGAGCTGCTTCAGAGCTGTGCAGCTCAAATGCCCAAAGCGTAACAAAAACTATCACACCATCCCCCTTCACCCCATTACACCGGCAGCAGCCGCGCAAGCCTCCCCCCGGGAACAGGTCTTTCACCCCAAAAGCTCCCTGCCACGTCAGCCACCCACCCACCCCTGCTCCCCCATCCCATGCAGGGCAGCCGAGGCAGGCTGTTCCCGGCGTGTCGGCACGTCTCGCATGAAACCCAGGGCCAGGAACAAGGCAGCTGCCTGTGCGCAACGTGCAGGCTGTGTGTGGTAGGGCTGTACTCACAGCCTGCCAACACCCGGGCCGGGAACACGGCGGGGATGGTGGCTGCCAATGGGAGCCGGCAGGAACGGAGCCATGGGGGAAAACTTAAAATGCAAGCGGAGCCGGGAGTGCGTGGCGGGTCCTTCCCAAGCGCTGCCTGAACTGGCAGGGTGGCTGGTTTCAGTCGGTTTTAAGAAGGGGGAATGGGTGTACGGGTGGGGAGCGTGGGCAGCGGTGTGCTGGGAGAGCTGAACTGGGAACCAGCAGAGGCGTTTACCTGCAGTGTGGCTTGAATATAGTACTATGAAGGAGATTAGAGACCCGACTCTGATCTTCACCCGTTTCAGGCAAAAAGCTGGAATCTGGATTGTAAAGATGCTATTTTAGCTGTTGCTGAAATCAGAAACAGACTCTGCAAGGGAGCGGGAACACATATTTACATCCATGAAGTTCCTGCGTCTTGCTACCCCGTTCTTCACAGAGCAGAACACTGTTGGAGCATTCATTAACTCAGCCGTAAATTGATCTTATTTCCTGAAACACTGCACATGCTAAACCCACCTAACAATGCTCTTAGGAATACTTTTTGTCCCATTTAATTCACTAAGCTTTCATTTAGATTTAGCCCGTTAAAGCTAGAAAATTCATATTAAAATCAGTAGATTCCACCCCTTCCCAGGTGAGACTCTCCAAATCTTATTTCCAAGGTGAATTTCTGCGGAGCACAAGCTTCCCCGGAGCGTTCGCAAGCGGGGTGTTTTCCACCTAGCAGCCCCATTCATACAAATACCACCCCCCGACCCCCCCCTCAGCAAACCTCCTCCTGATGAGAACCGTCCCAGCTGGGCAGGGGCAGGAGGAGCAGCCGCCCCATCGCCTGCGCTCCCACCCCCGGGATGCTCGGGGTGGAGGGGGGGGGGTCGGTCCCCCCCGGGGCTGGAGCAGCAGCGGGATGCCGGTCCCGTCCCTCCCCGACGGGGCTGAGGGAGCCGAGGGAGCCGTGGAGTTGCTCTGCATATAAATGAGCCGGGAGCAAGGGCAGCGGGAGCTGTTTTAAAAGAGGACAAGGGGAGGAAGGCGGCAGAGCGCAGGCAGCGAGAGGGCTCTGCTGTCCTCTCCCTGGCAACAGCGAGATCGGGGGGGACGAACCCCAAGCGAGCAAACCCCTTAAAATCCCCGGTGTCTCTTCAGGTACCTGCTGCCCCACCATGAAGCTCCTGACAGCAGCTTTGCTTCTGCTGTTCATTGCGATGTGCTTAGCCAGCGCAGAAGGTAAGGTGTTTTATTCTGCTCATTCCCATGTAAACCTCTTCCAGGGGGATGTTTTATTCCAGTAATTTTTATTTGCCTCGTGATAGCCCTGAGTTGGATTTAGCTGTTCCCTGCATGTTGGGAAAAATGAGGTATTGTATCTGTGGGGTAAGGTAGCTGTAAGTTTTTTAAAAGGTAGAAAGTAGAGGTAAAATACGCGCAAGAAAGTTGTGTCTTCATTGCAAGGGAAATAGCCCCAACTCAGTGTGGGAGGTCATAGTATGTTCTCTGTTATTCAGTAATATGGTTCAAATACCTCCCCTCAAAACTAAGGGTGGTTTTCACAGGAAAAAGAGAGCCGAGCTGGATGTGATGTGGTAGCATGAATTCCACCAAGTGTGCCAGTGTGCATTTTCTGCTGTGCACAGAAATGATGGTTAAAAAAAAAATAAAAACAAACAAACTCAGCTTTTGTCTGGCTGCGAGTGCATCCGTGCAAGGAGAAATGACTGAAAGTCCTACAAAGTCCTAGACAGTCACAAGTGAACGAGAAAGTAGCTGCAATTTGCATTTGCTCTCTCAGTTTAAAGTGAGTTCTGAGTCTTTCATTTCCTTTTGCTAAATACAAATACATTTAATCACAGCAGGTGCACTTTAAAAAGCTTTCATATTTACTAAGCCTCAGAACATACATAGTGCTCTAACCCATATTTCCCAGAGAGTCCCTACCTTTTCCTGGTAAAAAGAGTAATATTTTCTTTGCTATATAAGCTCCAAAGCATTACAAAATTCAGCTTTTCCCACCGAAGCTTGAAAGACCAAAGTGAAGTTTATGTGTGCACACAGGCTGGCGGGGAAGGGACGCTTGGTATGCAGGAGGCTTTGCAGGCACATGAGAAAACGTTTTCTCTTGTAGGCGTAAAGTGCAAATGTTCAAGAAAAGGTCCTAAAATAAGATTCTCTAATGTACGGAAGCTGGAAATAAAACCGAGGTACCCGTTTTGCGTGGAAGAAATGATTATGTAAGTTTTCCTTCATTTATTGCTTTCTGTTTGCCTATCAGCTGAATTGCTTTACCTTATACTGCAAGCTCTTTCTTTGTTCTTTGTTTTTCTCATGCCCTGGCATGCAAATTTCTGGGAATAGTCATTTGCTCTATCAGATGCAATAAAATGTGCAATTCTGACCAAAACAGCTATTATTTTTCAACACAATTTTTTTTTTTTGCTCAGAGAAATATTTACAGAACAGGAAGCCATAAAAGGATAATCATTAGTTCCAGTGAAAATAGGGACAAACCCTACCCCGGACTGGCTGATGCAAAATCCGGAACTATTTACTCAAGTCATTCTGGGCATGCAGAATAAGAATACAATCAGATTTTGGTCCTTGGTGGTTTCTGCAAGGAAGAGTTATCCTGAACAGAGTCAGATTTTTGCCTCCGTTGTACCAGAGCCACCCCCTTGCATTCGATGGGATTACCTAGCATGTAAGAGAACACTTTCCTCCCCATCTCACTGAAAGCTGTGACCAATGTTGCCTTGAAATCCCAAAGTGATGTTGCGACTCACTGAACCAAGGCAGGTACAGGGATTTTTGACATCTGTGATGACTGGCTCAGAAGGAGGGGTTTTTTTAGATTTTAAATATGGGTGGTTTGTGGGGTTTTTTTCTGTCCTGTTGTGGGCATCTTAAGACTCCCCCAACAAAGCACCATCCAACCAGCACATGGGGGCTGGATGAGGACCAGAAGACCAGATTAGCCAAGAAGACTGCACAGAGCCCCTCTGCCACCTAGGAGCAGGGGAAAAGGGTCCCAAGAGCCTCCACACCCCCAGAACACCAAGAACTGATTTACTCCTGTGTTTGTGCTCCCTCACTGAACATTTGCTGTTCACTTAATCTTAGAAACAGCAAGATCCAAGTCCTGTCCTGCCAAGCCATGAACACCCTCCAGCACTCTGTAATGCCCATGGGGCCAAATCCTGCCCATCTGACTGGCACAAATAAGGAGATATCACAGGAGCCTCATCTTGCCCATGATCTTGCCCATGCAGAAACGGCTCACCAGAGTCTGTGGAGAGCATATGGGGGAGGAATGGAGAAAAAAATCTTCCTTAGGCTTCCTCCAGATTTACACCAGCATCACTGAGAGCAATGCTTAGCTCAGGGAACACCAGACCCACATCCTTGAAGTGCAAATCAGCTGATGGTGACCTGAACAGAAAAATGCTTGCAGAGCATCACTGCCTGAATTCGTTCCTTTCAGCTTTACTTAGACCTTTCAATAGGAAAATTATGATGTAGAAGAGCACTACCTCTTCACCTCCCACTGCAGGAATTTGCCTAAAAGCAGATGGTTGCTGGGGGGTGGGTGTGTGTGTGTATAAAATAAATCTCATTAATGCAACATTTCACTTCCAATCAGAAAGTCAGGAAAGCTGGAACGCCAGGCACAAGCAGTTGCTTTCCCGGCAGGATAGCAATGCAGATGCCGAGATCAAGCCCGGAGGGTTGCCCTGGGTTTGCAGCAGCTGCGGGGACAGAGCTGTCCCATTGCTGTCACCACCTTTCCAGCTACCCTAATGTAGTCTGAAGACAGCATTGAAAGCAAACTGAAATTAATATTCCGAGAACCAATTGATCTGGGAGTCTCTGGACAAGGCACAGAAGAGCTAAATTCCTGCATTTAATTTTTTCTTGCTGCAGTGATCATCTGAAATGAGTTGTTGAATCTGGGTCCCCTCCTGCCCTCCTCAAAAGCTCTTGTATCTTTGCATACTTCAGAAAAAGGATATAAATTAAGTTTGGCAGAGAAGAAGTAGATATGGGGGTGCATTTTAGGAAGGAATTTGTCTTTAGCCATAACCCCCCCTCCAAGCAGAGCTGTGGTACAGGGTAAGAGACAGCTAAAATGAGTCCTCAGTCTAGTCAAAATTTATCAAGATTCATGGACATCTAGCAGTAATTGTGTGTGTGTATATCTGTCTCCTGGCATGAGGAAAAGCAGCAGAAAATGGGAGGGAGGTTTAACTCTTTCTGCCTGAAAGGATTCAACCCCTCCTCCACATATTGCCCCATCCCAAAGAGGAGGGATGTGTTGGGGTGAGAACAGCTGAGAGGTTCCCAGCAACACCTGGTTCCCTTCTCCGGGGACAGCTGAGATGGATGACAGTCCCTGTACCAGCTTGGGATGAAAGGACCAAATCCAGGACCCCTGTGACTCTGAGGACAAGGTGTTTGAAGGCAGAGGTGCAGCCCCACAGTCACTGCAGATGAGATACGTGAGGGCGGGAGGTGCTGTGGGTCACAGCCCTCGAGGCATGAACATATGGGGAATGAGTTTGGCACAGGGATCCTCAGACACCGTGGCTCCAGCCACTGAGCCCTGGGCAGTTAAGGGACAGCTCGGCACACACCCCTGGAGCGAGCTCATGTCTCAGATCCCACTGAAGGAATCTCACTGGACATGTAATTTCTGGTGCTTCAATCCCTTCTCAACCTCTTCCTGCAGCCCATCCAGACAACTCCTCATGTGGGGTATCAGATCCCACAGCACCTCTTCTTAGGCACATCCCCCCACATCTGCTGGACCAGCATCCCCAAGAACAGGGCCAGGTCACCCCAGGGTGCCCCAGAATGCTACCACCCAGCCCTGTGCCCACAGCACCAAGGACTGAACAGGAACCACAGAGGGTCATGGAACTGCCTTGGGAATATTTCCTATCCTGTGCAACCTCCAGCATCAAAACAGAAAACCTATGTGTGGTGTCAAATCAACACATCTCAGCCCGAGGAAAGCCCTGGTTGCTCACCTGAGAAGCCAGCCATGCATGTCCTCCTCCTCAGACCGCAGGCTCTAGTAAATCCAGAATTATCCATCACTGCTTCTGGTGCTGTTTTCCAGAGGTGCTCCTGCTTCTCTCCTGTGATTCAGCTTGTCCATCACTTTCTGGAAATACCTTCTCTGGCCTGTCAAATGAGAAACCCAAGCCAAGGTCTGGCATCAGCCAGAGGAGATGGCACAGCCAAGAAAGTGGTTGCTGGATGGACATACTTCATGCTGTCCTCAAGTCCCTTAAAATTTGCATGCCTTGTGCTTTCGATGAAGGTTTAGTTCCACTCCCATTCAAATCTGTAGGAAAATTCCTCTGCTCATGTACATGCTGATGCCCAGAGGGGTTGGCTGAGAAAATCCTTAGAGCAGAGGACAGTCCACTGGTTTTAGTGGTGACCTCTCCCTTTCCAAGGTCTGCAGCCAGAGAGGCTCTTGGAGGCCTTCCACCACTTTCCAGAAAACAGCCTGAAAAATTACACTTTACCTTTTCGTGACTTTAGCTCACACCTGATGGAGGTGGAGCAGAGGAGAAGATTAATTGAATGGAAAGAACTATTGAGGCACCTTGTATAACACTGAAATAGGAGATGTGGTGAGACCCTTTGCTGAGCTCATGCAGGCAACACGCAGTGTTCCACTTCCAGTCAGGCACGTCCCCTCTGCACAGGGGAGATGAGCTGAGAAAGGCTGCAAGGCGCTTTTACTTGTGTTAGGAGAGAAACAGCTCCTTTCTGAAAAGCAACCCAACACCATTGCACAGATATTTCTGATTTTCTGCCATCATTTCATTCATGTTTCTGGCAGTGTTTAAATAATTCCATTATAATATTTAAACTGAAAACTGTGTTTCCCTATTATAGATGGTATTTCCAGAAAATTAACAATTCAAATAAAAATTTTGTTTGTTTGTTTTTTTCTTAAAAAAAAAAAAAAGTCACTAAATTAATAAGAAAAAAAAAAATTGAAAACTGCTTGATTTTGAGCCTTGAGAAGTGACAGCAGTCTTGACATTTCTGGAAAGCCATCCTCTTGGGAAGCATCTCCAGGTCTCTGTGTCACCTTGGTTGGGGCAGACCAAGTGGTGATGGCTTCACTAAGCCCTCCAGAAAGAAACTTAAAACAATAGGAAGACTTTTGTCATGTTTTGCCTCCCAACACGCTTTGTCCTGACAATAACGGGACACCAAGTTGCTGCTGCTGGCAGAGAGAGGGATCAGCCTGTGATCAGAGGAGGCTGAAGCCCCCAGTACTGGGGCTCAGAGTTAGTCTGTTGGGCACATGGGCACTCTGACACATGCAAGTGCTTAAAAAAAAAATAATAATGGTTTTCTCTTGGATGCAGTATTGTTGAGTGTAAGGGAAGCATCTCCTCGTGCAAAGACCTTGTGGTTGCCTGAATGAGCCCTAATTAAATCAGCTATTAAACTCAGAAGGCAATATCTGACAGACAAGCAGAGCAAACACACTGGATAAAAACAGTGGGTAAGTCTCCATCGGCTGTAACCTAGTGTGATGGTGAACAATATTGCACCGCATTGATCAATAACAACTGAAGATCTGCTCTGATATTATTACAATAAACTCAAACGTCTGCCATAAAACACAAGCCATGAAAACTCTTCCACTGCCTGCCTAATCAGTTTTGGCATTTACCTGGCGTGGGAGCAGAGCACCGGTATTTCCCGTGGCTCCAGTAACCTGTGCTCACTTGCCTTGCAGCGTGACTCTGTGGACGCGGGTGAGAGGTGAGCAGCAGCACTGCTTAAACCCCAAACGCCAAAACACAGTGAGACTGCTGAAGTGGTACAGAGTATGGAAAGAGAAAGGCAGGTAAGGATGAATTTTGCTCCACAGGTGAAGGGAAATATCTTGGTGGCAAGTTGGGTAATCAGCAGCCTTCAGACATAGAGAGGCCAGGAAAATGCACATACTGCAAATGCTCTATCCAACACAGAGGATGTATTTCATTACCAAAATTACAGTTATAAATGGATATTCTTGATGTTATTTCTTTCCTGCCACATGCAGCCCTCACTTCTATTTTAGGATTAGGCTGTTCTGACTATAAATAGTAATTATTTTCTGTTAAACTATTCATCAGCTGGTGTTCTCAGTTATTTACATACACTCACTTCCTTTCTATGGGTAAAAAGCCAAGAGGAAATGTTAGATTACTCTCACATGGTCACAAGAAAAGCAGTCAGAAGAGCTGGGAAGACAGTGCCCTGTCACACACTTTAATCACACCACCTCAAAATCATCAAATATGCAGATATTTGCCAGTTTTAGCTAGCGTATCATTCCCAGAAAAAAAAAAAAAAAAAAAAAACCACACACCACAACAAAACACAAACTTGCTAGTAAGAATCTCTGCCACCTTCTCCCTTGCAGAGAGGATGTTTTTTAATTTTTTTTTTTTTGCAAGCCATCAGTCATAGATGGAAGAGAGAGGACACAAAACATGAATTCCTGATGGTTGATGGTCAGTGGTGGTGTCCCTATCTGTAATTAAGGGGAGCTGCCCAGCCCCTACCACCTCTCCAGCCATGATGGCCAAGAACCTCCACACGCAGTATAGTCCCACCCAACTCTGATCCTCTACCTATGGGGAATTTTCTCCCCAAAACTGAGCTCGAATGAGACCAGTGAGCAGCAAGCCCCAACTCTCAGCAGATCCAAGGGTGGCACGGGTGATGCCCCGTCCCCATAAGCAGTGGTGGGTGCTGAGCCCCCCGGCCGGCTCCCCTGACTCCCTGCAGCTGCTCCTTAAGCAGAGCACATAGGGAAGCTTTGGCTGTTGCATAACCACAGATTTACACTCTTCCCCTATTCTTTGTTTTGTTCCTTTTTTATAAGGCTATCATTAAGATGACAAAGGATGCTCAGCCCCAGGCTTGTGCATTCAGAGTTCCCCTGAGCAAACCAAGAGGAGGGATGTCCCATACAAGGCTGTGAGGGTCAGGGTCCAGGCACTGCAAACTAGCTTCTGTCTCCTCCATAGACCAAAATAAGGGTCATCTCAAGGCTTTCCCACAGCCCAGACAAGGGAAGGAGACCGTCCCTGCTGCCAGGGAGAGGAGGAGGGACAAACAAACCTGCAACCCCATGGCTTTGGCTGCTGGCCTGGGGTGTGCCCAAGGGACACAGTGCAACTCTCAGCATTTTATCTTGCTTTTCCTCAGCCAGCACCAGCATCCCCCAGTGGCAGCATGCCAGCCCAGCATGCCCCCACCATCGCTAACTGGGCAAGCGGGGCTGCTGAGCCGAACTGCAGCTGAAGCAGCAGCAGGTGATTATTTCAAACATAAGAGCTGGGTTTAAACCAAGTCCTCAGAAGAAATAAACAATTTGTCAGTGCTTTCAGTGCCAGCTGTACCAAGCCCACTGTGCTGCTCCCCAGGAAAAAACAGAGAATTTCAAGTCAAAGGCAGCACAAACACGAATCTCTTCCCCCAAACAACATTTCCCCTAGTTTTCCCCATGCCATGGAAGGCTGTTTTCACCCCAAGAGCCTGCACAACTAGGATTTTTCAGCAAACAAGCCTGTCAAATTATCTTCTCAGGACGTAAACTAGAAAAACAACATAGAGTCCAATACTATTCCAAACATAACATATATTGGGAATTTATTAGCTACCTACAGCTCATGATATACTTCAACATTTGTATATGATACAGGGATTTTCCAACAGTTAAAGTATATTAGCAGACATGGATTTCTTCATCTTACGTACCCTGATAACCATAGCAGAACATGTTATTCCCTGCACACCTGCAAGATGTGGCAGTGACAATGTCCAACCCTCCTTCCAGATGCTTGATGGATAACAATACAGTGACTGCTGAAGCCAATATCTTACTTTCCAATTTACTTAAGCAAAGGTTAAAAATCTGGCTTCTGGTTTTTTTTCTTGTTTGGAGGGGTTTTTTATTATTACTATTTGGAAGGGAGTTGTTTCATTCATGGTTTAAGCACCTTGCTCTTAGCTTTCCTTCTGTTTTAGGGTTTATGAAGAATAAGAGGAAGTGGCATGAGGAATGGAGCAGACTCCCTTGGCTGGCATAGGACTGGACTCTGCAGAAGATTATTTCTCTCTCACAGACATAAGACACAAATTCTATATTATTATAAAGCACTTTTTACCAAGGGTCAGTTTTTACATTTTATAGCCACGTGCAAAAGGCTTCCAGATTTCACAAGCATCTGTTGCACTTCAGATTTCACACCCGTCTGCTCTGTACTGAGTTTGGGAAAGCTCATGCTTTTCATTTTAAAGAGTTTGGGTTTGGGTTTTTTGTTTGGTTTTTGTTTGTTTGTTTTTTATTGTTATTCATTCATACTTCACTATGATTGCAAATCGAGCTTTATAAGCTCTTTAGACAAACAGTAATGTTTGTAAAGGTGTTGTACAGCCATGTCCCTCACCCTTCCGCAGTGGGAAAGCTTCGGTGCTGTGGTTGTTTGTCATGTTTGCAACCTCCAACTTAGGCAAAGCGGGGACCAAAGACAAGTTTGCTGGGGAAGATGCCACCGAAATGTTGTGGCTGTAGCTGCCGAAGTGAGGTCCCTCAGCACGTCATCAAATGAGTATGAACATCACTCGTGTACCTTTTCTCTAACGGACTGGAGGTCTTGCTGCAAGGTGAAGCGTACCATCTCATTTAACCTTTCATGCATTAGAAAGCATTTCTAGATCAGTTTTATTACTAAGAAAATGTTCAATTTTTTTCTCCACCTGAAGTTCTTACAGAAAGTTTGTGACTTCGGTACTGAGACATTTTAAGCTTCAAGATATTGTGTATGATTTCCTAGATTTGTAGCAACAACAAAAAAAAGCCTTTAAAAGGTATCTTTTTATGAAAAATATGATAGGGCAAACATATAAATACCTATATATGTTTTAGTCACAATACAACATATTCATTATTTTGAATGTAATACTTCAATGTTAAGCAGTGCATCCCTCTTTTTAAAATAACAAAACTACCTTTTCATTTGTAAATATACTATAGGAAGTCTCCTTATATTATCTTTCTGTATAATGTACTGTACTGCTAAATTATCATATGCTATTTAAATGTTTGAAATATTTAGAAGGTTGCATGCAGATTTCATATTTCTTTCTAAGACAAATGAAAAAAGTAATAAAAAATATATTTAAAAAAAACCTGACAATTGCTCTTAAATTTCCTTAATGCGGCAGGGAACTCCAGCCTCTTCTAATAACTTTTTTTGGTGGATGGTTTAGGGCAAAAACACTGCAACGGAGAAGCTGATTTAAAGATATGGCATCTTGATGACACTGGAATTAGAACATATTATTCCAGTCCAATTTATTTGCCTTTCTCATTTTTGGATTTGGGCTTTACCCAAACACTGAGGAATCTTGTTACATAAAGAAGGGCTATGCCATGCACCTATAGCCACTAGTCTAGTGTTATGTTAAATAAATGTAAATCAACCACTCTGGATCCACATAAAGACAAGTAAAAATGCAGAAATTTAGACAAGATCTTGGTTAGATCAGAGAAGGTCATAAAATGAAGGTCAGGCCACAAAAACCTGTGAGTCACCCCCTCCTTTTTCTGGCCAGTTTCTGCCCTCGCCCAAAGGGAGGGACTTTGCACCCAACAAGGCTCCTACATGGCTCCCCAGCTGAAAAAGGAAAGCAACAGACAAGGAGTGTAGAGCCAGCAAGAGTTTAAATGCATTAAAACCTCTTGGTGCCCCCCGAACAGCACCGCGCTCCTTCCTGGATGCTCCTCTCTGTGCAGAGACAGCTTTGACTCCTATGACAGTGATCATATACTATATAATCAAGGCAATGCCTGGCTTGAGCTCAAAGGTTTCCTCCAGTTCAGACAGGAAAAAAAATTAAAAAAAATATATAGATATATGCACACACACTATATACTTATTTACTGTGATAACACCCTGGCAGATCTGAAAGAGAAAGAGGTGTTAGATTTCAAAGTATTTTCTTATTCTACATAAGGATGAAGCTATGGGCCTCAGACACCTATTATTAAAATGCTTGAGAAAGATCCCAGAGTATTTAAGAAATTAAACCTCTGGGGATATTGACCACAAGGCGCTGCTCCAGACTGAGCCTCTGAACCCAATCTCCTGGCAAACCCTGACCCGCAGACCAGCCAAGCTGCCCCTCGCCTTTCTTGAGTCACATTTTAACAAAACCAGTAGTTTTTCCTTGAGGAAACTTGATTTCAACACACAGACTTCAAGAAAAGGTTTATGCTTATTTAGCGATCTCTGGGCAATGTATTTCCTGGAATATTATAGATACAGTTGCACAAGAGGTGGTTAACGCTCCACTGGGAATGCTGTGCACAGCTCCAGTTGCCCAAATGCAGTGACTCACACCTCTCCTGTACAAGTGACTCTAATCTCTGGGTTCATCTGCCAAACCAAAACCACCAGTAAAAACTGGGCAGAGAAGAAGCCAATTGTTTTTTTGGGTTTGGGTTGTTTTTGTTTTGGTTTTTTTTTTTTTGTTTGGTTGGTTGTTTTTTTTGTTTTGTTTTTTTACTTGCCAACATGGGAGACTAAAGAAAGAGAACTGGTTCGTTTGATATGTGTGTTCCCTTTAACCCAAAATTGATGCTCTAAAGAAAACAACTCTTGGAAACAGGAACTGAAACCACAAAGAGAAAAAAAAAAACATGGCTCTGAGATGGTTTTCCCAGGCAGGTTAGTTAAGTTGCCAGAAACAGGAGGAGCATCCCTTGCTGTCCCTGATATTGCAGTTGTAAAGGGAAATACTGTGTCAGAAGGTAAACTGCCACACACAAAACATTGACCACTTTCCTTCAGATTGAAACATTTTTGCTAAAACATGTAACTGTAGGTACCTCCTCCACCTAGATTTGGCAGACAATCTTCAGGTTTGCTTTTGTTTTCCCCAGCAGATTGCAGGTTGTGAAGCCACAGGAGACCATTCAATCCCACCTCCCTAATACACAGACCATATATTTGTGCTTTGAGATTGAAAAATTAAGCCACTGAAGTACAGTCTGAGCACACACCAGCCAGCCCAAACCCCTCACCGGTTACCAATTTACCTTACTAAGACTTTGAACATTTGCAGGGTGAGCCAGAACCCTGCTCCATCCTGAGGTGCAGGGGGAACACAAGCAGACCCTGCAGCTCCTTTACTCCAGCACCAATGCTACATTGCAAGGATGTAAACCCTTCACAGAGTCTCCAAGGAGGGCAGCTGACAACTGGTTTCCCCCCCACCCAGCCTGTAAAGCTGCTCCCCAGCACACTGTGGCCAGGAGCACACAGAGACGGAGCACCAAGCCCTGCACAGGAGACCTCCATGCCCCCCCCATCCCTCCCCAGGGAATTGGGTATCCACAGGCTGCACCCGTTCAGAAACAACACTATCAGATTTTATTTTAATAAAAGCACGAGGGTGAACCAAGCAGCTGCAGTGAAAGGACACAATTGCGGGGAGACCTGCCTTGCCTTTTCAGTGAGAGTGCTATGTGGGATTAGTAATGTTATACAGATCCTTTCAGCACTTGCCTTTCACTTGTTCATATATGGTCTAGGTCAGCAATGGCCAAAAAGTTTATTAAGAAGCGATAGCTGCTTGGTGGTCTGCGTGAGATGGGACAGTGTTCTCGGAAAGTCCAGCTGCCTGCTGTGCCCCAGCTGCCCCCAGGCTCCCTAAATCAAGGCACGAGGCCATGGCAGGTTGCTACACACACAGGGACCTTTCCTGACTGCATCCACGTGGCAGGAGAGCTGGACCCACACTAACAGGGTTTCATCAGGGCTGTGGGAACAAATGTGGGGCTCAATGGTAAAGCCATCAGAGAAGCCTGGGGGTTTTCACTGGTCACCCCCCAAGCCCTCGGTGAGAAGTTGAAGGCAGTGTTACAGCAACACAAATGCTCCCTGAGCTAATTAAACATCAGAGTTGGGTCCCTTCTTGACCCACATTTGTAAAGAATGACGAACAAATAGGAATAAAAAAGCCACCACCCCCCAGGACTCACTGTCCTGCTGAGATCTGCAGCCAGGGAGCTGTGCCTGTCCAGAGGTAAAGGGCCTCCCATACAACCTGATATCACTTAATGGGCTTTATATAAACCCAAACAGAGCTTGCACCCTCCAAAACACTCTTCCCATTAGGTCAGATGAAACACCAGTCATGTTTGGGGTATCTTTCCTCCAAAGCCAGCTTCCAAAAATGAGGCATCTAAACCCAGACGTGCACAGCATCTGAAGACCTCACTTATTCGGAGTTGCTCAGCACCTTTGGAAAAAGGCAAGCTTATTTGGCTGCTGGCTGAGTTTGGGATTCAGATTGAGAAGGACAAGCAGCCCAGCTTGGGATTTGTTGTTCAGTTTGATCCCTTCAGTGGGTTGGGGAACATGCAGTCACAAATGGAAATACAAGCTCTTATGAGGATCACTGTTTGCAGCTCTCACTGACTCTGTTTGCTCTGTCAAAAACCCTCTGATGTTATTCATTGATTTCCCTCTGATCCTAACCACAAAGAGCCAAGTGCTTCCTGGAAGGTGCTTGGTTTGCCTTGAAAAGCTGCACTCCTTCAGCCCCCAGATATCCTTGTAACCAGGAGGTTTCTGGCAAAGTACCCCAAAGCAGATTTCCTCTAATTCCTTTACCTGACATAACTCACCCCGGAATAATAACTGGGATTGCCATTGCCTGAGGAACAGCAGCTGCAGCTGCATTTGTAAGCACAGAGCTCCAAATGATTACAGTGATTTTTGGTGCTTGTCGGTATTGATACACACTTTACAGAAATCTTAAGTGTTTGCTGAATCCTGGGCATCCAGGAAACTTGGAATATCCCACAACACTGTTGGTTGTGTTTTCTGACACCATGTACCTCTGGAAAGACAAACCCTCCATCTCTACAGACCATGCCCACAATTATATTTGTGCTACCATTTGTTCAGCTAAAAAACTGCACAAAATTAGGCCACCATTCGATCATCATATCTCATGTGAAACAGAGATAGAGCTATCACCTTTTTTACCCTCCATGGTTGCCTCCTCAGACTATCACCTCTACTAATCAGTGGCCCTGCCCAGGCAGCGATGCAGTAACAGTCCTAAATTCACATTAGACATGTTAAAGTATTTAATACTTATCACAGATCCAGAAGTTGGGTTTTGATCATCCAGAGTGTCCTCACTTCTATTAGCCAGCATGACATGAGACAAATCTGTGCGAGATCAAAGGAATATTTGG